TGGGAAAAAAAAAAAAAAAAAAAAAAGTACATAAGAGGAAATTTATCTCGAGACCCTATGAGCCTGGTGGGGGTGGGAGGAATAAGTTCTGCTTAGTTTCACCCGTTAACCAAACTTTTTCCTCTGCTTCCCTCACCCCGCTCTTTCCAGCTTAGTTTTCTCTCTATAACCCTTTCCCTCCTTGCAGTAATCTTTTTGAACAGTCTCTGGTTACTCACTGACCGAGGCTTCTGTATCTAACAAAACATTTTTTTAAGACAGCTTCAATTAAATGTTTGGAAACAAATACCTACCTTCTTGGGTTTGTGGCGATTCACTAGATCGTTAACAAAGCTGTATCTCTGTCTGTACAACGGAGGGGAAAAATTAATTGCCTTCTTGATGGGAAGGTCAAAATTACCATCAACCGCACTGTTGCCCTGAAAGTTTACAAACAGAAAGTGTTCTGAATCACGCGTGACTTCAGGAATGAAATAAGAAACAAACAGCTGTATTTCCCCCAGTTAATGGGCAGAGCATACTGGCCTTTCGGCCACCTCTGTTCTAAAATCATTAGGTGGCACTGTGTTTCCTCCACAGTCCATCTAAGTCTCCGCTCTTATTTTTTAAAATGTTTTTATTGATTTTTTTTTAGAGAGAGAGGGTGTGAGAGAAAAACACCGATCGGCTGCCTCCTGTACACACCCAACCGCACTCCAACCAGAAATTGAAAACCCAAAACCTGGGCATGTGCCCTGACTAGGAATCAAACCAGGGACCTTTCAGTGCACGAGACGATGCTCCAATCAACTGAGCCACACCAGCCAGGGCTACTTCTTATTAAGAATCTTGCTTTATGCTTTCTATAGTTCAGTCAGCTGAATGAAAAACTACTTACGAATGCATTTCATAAAACAATTATAAGCCTCCCAGCCACAAGGGATCTTTAGGGAACTTCCAAAGACTGGAGTCCAGGCAAGCAGGAGGCTGGAAAACTTCATGCCTGACAAAGTCTCTCCTTGACCAAAATGAGGTCAGGCTCCATTGCAACCTCCTCTGACTAGGCCTAGGCCTGGGCCTGGGCCTGGGCCTGGGCCTGGACCTGGACCTGTCCTGTCTTTGGCCTGCCCAGCCTGGTTTTAGCAAGATTCCTACTATGCCAGTTTAAAGAGAATCCCCCTGCCCTTGATATGTGATCAAACTCTGTCTCTGATCAACTTCCTCATTTCTCACCCGATACCTGATCATCTTGGCCTGCCTTCAGCAAGAATCCCGTTAAATCTGTAACTCACTTAACAAGAATCCCCATACCCTTGATGTCTCCTCTCTTTCCCATCCACTGACTGCCCCCTCACTCTGCTCATAGGCTATAAATCCATTAGTCTTTGTTGTATATGGAGTTGAGCCCATTCTTTCCCCTAACTGCAAGGCTCTTATTGCAACAATCCTAGTAATTCTGTCCTAACAGAATGTTTCTTTAACATGGCCCCACTAGGAAAAAGGAATTATGACTAATCCCTAACAGCTATCCCTGCTCCTAAATGCCAGTATTACACAGGAGTACAGTCCAAAAGGTGCTTCTGTCCAAGAGAAATAAAATACCAGCCAAATATGCAACTTCCTTGTAGCCTGTTTTTTAAAACTGCTTTTAAAGCGTAACTGTAATATTTTATTAAATCAATGTATCTAAAATTGCAAGAATAACTCTTGAGAGTCATGCAAGCCAGTTAGAAAGAGCAGCAATTACCTCTTTGTTGTTGCTCTGTTCCATCTTGTCTCTCGAAGTTTCCTGGAAACAAAAATGTAGATGTATCCTTCAAGGTCCAGGAATCAACAGCGACTGGGCTATAAATTAAAAAAATATATCAGTTACAAAAAAGAAGCCAGGACAAAATAGCTGCCTAGACCAGCAGGGAGGGGAGAAAGTGGCTTTCTCCATTCCCTTTCGATGTTACTATGTAATCCACAGAATTTACTCAGTAAGTATTGTTTCAGACAACAGCCGACAGCTTAGAAAACCTAAATAACTGCACTATGCCAAACCCAGCTCCGTGCAGCCCAGCGTAACCCTAAGGCACCATTCTTTCCTTCGTTTACCATCTTTTCAGTTTGACCATTCCATTAAAGCCCTCGACCTCGTTCAGACTGCCTGCAATTACCCTTTCACACACGGTCAAAACGAAATTTTGAGGGGAAGAGAGTGTCCCACGTAATAAGCAAGAGATGCTCCAACATCTCTCCGATAACTCACAGGTGAACTTGAAGTTAAATTCTGGTTCTCTGCTGCAACTTGGTCTCCACTGCAGGCAGGTGGCCAACGGACTCGCAGGTGTAGGCAGTGGGGTACATTAGGGGCCAACGGACTCGCAGGTGTAGGCAGTGGGGTACATTAGGGGCCAACGGACTCGCAGGTGTAGGCAGTGGGGTACATTAGGGGCCAACGGACTCGCAGGTGTAGGCAGTGGGGTACATTAGGGGCCAACGGACTCGCAGGTGTAGGCAGTGGGGTACATTAGGGGCCAACGGACTCGCAGGTGTAGGCAGTGGGGTACATTAGGGGCCGGTGCTTTTGCTACCACCACGAGGGTTTCTGGCCCAATGAGTGGCATTTGATAGTGATCCTTGCTACAGGTGTGACTTGAATGAATTAGTCTCAGGCATTCGTTGGCCTGTTTTCAAACCAACTTGGTGAATCCTGCTATGAGCTACTAAAAAGGTGGGTTGCGTAGGGTTCCAACTGGCCCAGTTTGTCACTGATCTCAAGCCCCTGATTGCACATAAGCATCACCCAGAGATTTTTTTATTTTTTAAGTCCAGGCACTTATCTCAGGGAGTTTTTCATTTTGTTGCCGAGGATGGAGACTGGACAATAGTACTTTCTAAAATCTCAATCAATCAAGGTTGAGAACGCCCGATATACTGAACAACCTTCCTTGCTATAAACACTTTTATACTAAGAGACACGTCTGTTCTCTTGGTACCAAGGACCTAGGTGATGCGGAGGTACCTGTTGTTTGGGGTTGACCAAGTGTCCCTTTTTAATATCCTGGAAAAAAAATAAAATAGGATGCAGGCAACATGTCAGTCGCCTAACTTTTCGAGTTACTCTCTCACTCGAATCCCGAAACCCTCCTCCAGCCGCCCAGCGTCACAGCCGAGCACGAGCGGTCGCCAGCCTTACCTGCGAGCGAGAAGCGCGTCCAGGTGGCCGAGCGCAGCGCCGCCGACTAG